ATTAACCTAAAAATAAACACTTAAAGTAAATTATTATTTCTAAATAAACAAATGTTTGGTATTTAGAAAACTTTATTTCACCTTTTCAGTTGAAAATTTCAAGAAAAAAAAACATTTAATCTACATATGTAGATTGAATGTTTAGTGTAATAATGTATATAAAATAAACATTTTCAATCTTAAGTGGTAAATTTATGTTTTTATAAGCCATAATAAGACAAAGGTGGGATTTTGGTCTTAATGCTGTAAGTACTGTAGGTAATTATTTCAGCAAATGTCATGCTTTAGAGTCTGTTTAATACTGCTCAAGGTAATGGAAGTGATTCAATTACAAATTGGTTGACAGTGTTTTTGATAATCAATTAATCGCTATTAATTTTGCTTTAAGCTTAAGTTTTTAAGAGGCTCGCACTCTGAAAAAAAAGGTACATTTGTACACTTTGTTTGGAATTGACATATAGATCTTTTTCTAATGAGTGCAGGGAAATCAGAATCTTTTTGCAGATATGGAGTCACCAGATTTATTTCACTTCTCAGCACCATGTGGACGTAGTTTTGTATCGCTGCATGTTTTAAGTTTACAGCCATGATAAAAAATATCTTCTCACTTCAGGATGATGTTCAGTCCACTGCAGGAGAGCCCCCTCCTTCCTTCAAGCCTCCGCCCCCTCCGGGGGTGCAGAGGCGTCAAGGTAGACGAGAAGTTCTCATCAAGTGCCCCTCATCCGAATCCTCCCAGTCAGGGTTGTGCTTCACAGCACCGAGCTCCCACAGCCACAGCAGAGAGCCGGCCAACATAACCTCCTCACCTTCACTGCGCCACAAACGGGACGCCTCGCGGGAATACGCTGCTATCAAAAAGAAACATCCCTCATCTCAGCTCAAGAAAGACAAAATAACCTCCGCTCAGTTGGCCACAGTCTCCCAGCATAACATCGGCCCCTTCCCCAGGGTGCAGTCTCCCAGCAGAGGCCCCAACCTTACGGCCCCGTCCCCATCTCCCCCACCGCCGCCTCCACTTCCTGCCCCTCCACCACCCCCCTCTCTTTCCTCTAAGCCGGGGTCCTTGTCCAAAGCTGCCCCGGGCTCATCTCCTGCCACCAAACAGCAGTTTGTAACGGTGGAGGTCCACAGGCCCAACGCTGAACCTGACGTCAACGAGGTGCGGCCGCTGCCCCAGGCCCGAGGTACGCAACAGCGCCTCTGACTGTACAAGTACTCCTAAAAAAGCGTACTTAGTTTAAACACAGCAAAAAATTATTTTTTTAGTTTTTTTCTGGGTGTCAGAAATCTGCTTCTGCATTTTGCACACATCCTGTTTTCAAAAAATTTCCACCTGTAACATGTTCAGTTCTTCTTTTAGCGAGATTTAGGAGTGAGCTTATTTTAATTCCTGCATAATCGTATTAGTAAGGTCACACAATGATGTTTTCAGGTTGATTTTAGGACTTAACAAACCAGTAAAGTTTTTCCAACTCCAAACTCTAGCACTAGCACCCCTGTAGAACTGGTCCTGGCCCCTATACTAAAGGCATGAAAATAAAGCTCCTATGATTTGTATTGGTACAGCAAATAAAAATAAATGGCCCCCTGGACTGGTTTCCTTTTTTAGTTTTTTTTATCATTTAACTCAAACAATGATTTCAAAATTTAGTTGAACTTTTAGCTTCAGTCATATGGCATAGTGACTCTTTGGCTTTGTTGTTATATCAAATGGTAAATAATACCATTTAATATAACCCCCACCCTGTTCATTTGATCTAGAATCGCCACTGTCTATGTGATTGTGGAAAGTTTTGGAGTCATGTTGAAACAGCAAGGAGACTAAAATATCACTGAAAGATCTTAGAACTTTACAGGTTCCTTTAGAAGGGCGTGCAGGTGGCGCAGTTGTTAATGCGCATGACCCATGTACGGAGGCCCTTGTCCTACGCTGCTGACCTGGGTTCGAGTCAGACCTGTGGTCCTTTGCTGCATATCTCTTCCCCTCTCTCATTCCCCTGTTTCTGTCAGGCTACTGTCAGAAAAATGAAGCAATAGAGTAGTGTTAATTTCGTTAAC